AACAAAACAACTGTGAGCTGAAATACCCGCAAGTATAAATGTACAAAAAGAGACTTCAATAAAGTGAAAAGCAGCATATAATTAGCAATAGCAGTAACAACTATTACATGTGGGAATGAAAAATCCACAAAATTCATGAAGGGAAACAGTCAAGTCCAGAGAAGATCTCCAACACTTTTCCAAGGTAGTTTATAGTGTTTCAGACTCCTGGTCCTTCCTCAGGAACAAAGAACTATAGAAGTACAAAATTGTAAAAGTATAAAATACAGCAATGCTTTATAACAATATAGCTTCCAAACAATGATGCTTAATAACAATATATAATCACTGTTACACAGAGTCTCATGTATCTTACCAACATAGGAAGTCTCATACCAGTTTCTTAACAGGATGATGCTATTCAACATCTCTGTAAAAGAGAGTAACTCCTTAGAATAAAGAATATAAATACATAGCATAATATATGGACCATAAAGCCGCCAGTATATACTCACTTACGGGCTAGGTCTCCTAAGTTTTAATATGCACCTCTAGGGTTGCTTCTATGTGAACAGGACCAAACATGCCTCAAAGTATCCGGCCTACTGGGACAGCTCTATGAAACCACACTGATTGCAGCTGATAGTATCCTCATTAGTTTTAAAGTTATAGAACCTCTTATTGTAAAAAGACTAAAGTACGAGGAGTTGCCAACTCCAGGTGGAACATTCCATCCCTAATTTGGGCCAGGTCTCCTAAATTTTAATATGCACCTCACAGGGTAGTTTCTAAGTGAACAGGACCAAATGCATCAAATTTCCTAAGTAAAATATATATATGTGGTGGAACATTCCAACCTTGATATGTATGGGCCAGGTCTCCACAATTTTAATGTGCACCCAACAGGGTTGTTTATGTAGCCAGGACCTGATATGCCTCAAATTCCTAAGTATAGTGTGTATGTAAAAGTCAATAACAGCTGCAATGCTATCCTAAAGGCACTGAGGAAGGACCAGGAGTCTGAAACACTATAAACTACCAAGGAAAAGTGTTGGATATCTTCTCTGGACTTGACTGTTTCCCTTCATGGATTTTGTGGATTTTTCATTCCCACATGTAATAATATATGCTGCTTTTCACTTTATTGAAGTCTCTTTTTGTACATTTATACTTGCGGGTATTTCAACTCACAGTTGTTTTGCTGTTCCTGGCTATATCAGACTGTGTGCTGTATTGTTTGTTGCTTGCCCAGTAGGAGTTGCCAGAGATCGCCATGATTTCCAGGCATGGGGGCACGCAAACACACACACACACTGCAAAAATACAAAAAAATAATAATAATAAGGTCAATCTGATCTTTTTTAACGAGAGATGCTGGGGATTGAACCTGAAAACCAGATGCTCTGCCACTGAGCCACACGGGGCACTAGTCACATCACACCCTCTAACACTGTAGGCCACAAGAATGGTTGTGTACACCCATAATGGGGCCCACAAGGGCAGTTTAAAGACTTTAAAGTCTATTTAACATACTCACTCCAAGAGAGATTTCCTAGGAACAAAGACTTTTCCATGTTCTGGAGGTGCTCTCAAGCCTCTGTGGGGGGAAAGGCAAATGGTCAGGGCTTATTCAGGAGGAGGTGAAAGGAAACCAACTCTGCCAAGGTTCAGCCAAGAACTGACGTACTTGGTTTTGGAGCTGTCTTTCTCTGAACGCACAGTTGGGAAGGCAGATGGTGACGACTCCAGCAGCACTGACTTTGAAACCAAGCCATCTACGAATTCCGTAAAATGACTGTCAATCCCCTTCATGAAAGCTGGCTTCAAATGCTGGGGAAATTGGGGGAAAGGGATGGGAGAGAAAACACAACAAATGATTTACGTCCGCACCTGGAAGTCTGCTGAAGTGGCACATTACCCTACATCACACACATACACACACGAAGCCACCTTATACTAAATCAGACCATTGGTCCATCAAGGTCAATACTGCCTACGCAGACTGGCAGTGGCTCTCCAGGATCTCAGGCAAAGCTCTTTCACATCACCTACTGCCGAGTCTTACCTGGAGATGAGGGGGATTGAACCTGGGACCTTACGCATGCAAAGCAGAGGCACTTCCACTCAGCCACAGCCCCTCTGCAGTGGGTTGCCTTTCAACAGCAGCCCCACCATTATGGAACAAATTCCCCAGGGAGTTGCCCCTGGCCCCCTCACTTCCAATCATTAGGAGGCAGCTGAAGACAGTTTTATTCAGGACTCTCTTTGATTAAGTTATTAGCATTCCTGAATTGTGATTTTAATCTTGGTTTTTAGGTTTCTGGTGTATTTTATTTTATATCAGAGCAAAACAAACAGAAGGAGTTGATCGATAATCCAAAATAGAAACGATGAAGGTTAATGTTTAACTTTCTTTTTTCTTCTCCTGTTCCTTTTTTTCTTTTTGGTTGCTTGCAGCTGTACAGAGAGCAAACAGACGAGACCAGAACTTCAAGTTTTCCTGCTACCCTGTTCGCTTGTCATGACCACAGAATGCAGGTTTCTGAAGTTAACAAGGATGTCTGATTCGTCACTACAGTTTGTTACACAAGTAAATGCAAAACCCATGTCAAAACCTCAAGAGTAAGAAAAGGGGGGGGAATCAAACCTAGGCAATGAAAGAGAAAACTGGCACAAGGCTTTCTTTAGATCAGAACGTTCAGGCGTTGAATGAATAATGGAGTCACGTGCTCGCAGTAGCAACAACACCGTTACTCCATCGGACTTGGCAGGAGGTGCTGCAGGCAGCTTTTGATATTGTAAAATATTTCCACGTGCTGAAGAACATTCCCCGTAAAAGGGACTCAGTGTACTTTGCAGCTCTTTTCCTGCTCCCAGAACTCAATCTGAACCACAACATTTCTTTGCCTCAGAGTTTCTCAGTGCTGCTCCCTTGTACTGATTACTAAACTACGGCCCCGGTCACACGGCAAAGTTGCCGCGGGAGAGGCAAGGATGGTGGGCGGATTATCCGGGCGAGATCACACCCCAACATCTGGGAAGTGGAGCGCATCCGTGGCTTACCGCCGAAAATGGGCGTTAAAAAAGTAGTACCTCCAAAGTACTAGTAAATGTTTGCCATGGGCTGCCTCCAGACTTCTGCTGTGCGATCTTGCCGGCTCGCAGCATTCCCCTCCGGTCCCTCGTTTACCTGCTGGCGAGGGAAGGACCCGTGGTGTGCTCTCTCAGCCCCACCGACCTCACAGGGTGTCAGTTGTGGGGAGGGGGGGGACTGTAAGCTGATCTGTTCCTTTGGGTAATGAAGGCTGGGTATAAAGCCAATCTCCTCTTCCCTTCTCCTTATACGGAATCCCAGAAAGCAGCTGTTGAGAACTAATTTCCAAGCACTTCAGGGGTCTAAGTCAGGTCAGGACCACCATATAGAGGAAGAAAGGGCTTCCACCACCCCTGTGCAGTTTTCCCAACCCAAAAAAGTCCTGGGAATATTATTTGCTCCATTGGGGGACAGGCTGTGTGTGCAGTTTAGATTCTGTATGCCTATCAAGCAACCAGGGTTTTACTGACCAAAAGTCAGTCTAAGGTCATGTCACGAACATAAAGTTTATATTGTAAAATCACAGGTTGAAATTAAGTGTAACAGACAACTTCAGATTCTCTAGGGACTTTTATAATTGAAATATGTTTACCTCAGCCTCCGCCAGGAGTTGCATCTTCCTTGTTATCACATGGTCAACATCAACCCAACCTAAGAGAAAAACAAACCATTATTGTCCTTTTTTAAGTGAAAACTGCATATAAGCAGTCTGCAAGTGTGGAAACAATGGGGCGGGGAGAATACTTTAATTTTCATATTTATAATCAAGCTGCAAATAAGCCCACAAGTTACAAACCCAGTGTACTTTTTACATATTCAGCTGCTCAGAGGTAACTCATCTGTAGCACAACAATGGTCTACCAAACCCACACACAAATGGGGAGGGAGCACTCTTCCAATTCATCTGTAGTACAACAATGGTCTACGAGAGCGGCCCCTCTTCCAATTCATAAATCCCTCCCCATCTGAATTACTTCCTTAGCATCTGAAGTACTTCCTTAGCAGAGACAAGGAGCTTTCACAGGCCTGTCTGAAAAGAAGTTGTTCACCACAATTCTATGGCCTAGTTCTTCTCACTGAGATGACAAACTTGCATCAGGGCCATGTACTCCATGACGGCAGGGGGCTCAGGTGACCAGATATGGCACCACACAAAATTCCCTCCATAGAGAAAGGGAGCCTCAGGGACACAAGAAATAAATTCTCAATTTGATAGTATGGGAAACCAAAGCCATAAATAGAAAATTACGATTTAAAAACTTACAAAGATGATGTTAAAAATAGGTAAAACTTGTTCCGACAGCTTATGAAAATAAGGCCATGTAAAAGAATCATAGTATTCTTCCCAAAAATCAGCTGTCTCAAAAGAGAAACACACACACTGATGTATATGTATATATGTTTTTTTAAAGTGATACAGCAAAGAAGATATTCTACAATTCTGTACATTTATAAAATGTATAACTGGACGAACCTTCCAGAAAGTTTTCTTAGTGTAAGTTCTCTCACTAGAAATTCTCTCATGTTTTCAGAAAACTCTCTGACTAATATGCTTCATAAAGCAATAGTCAATATTTTTCTTCAATTCCTATGATAGTTTTGAATCTCTTAACATTTGAATCCCTTAACATTAAAGGATCAAGGGAGAGACAAAATTTCAAGTTCTACAACAATACACCCACTTTTTTTTACCTAGAACAAAGCAGGTGAGTTGCACCTTATAGCTAGTAATAGTTTGTTCTAATTACAGAGTTCCGACTCTCTTGATCGCCGAACTCGTCCCCCCCCCATGCACAAACATTTATATTAGAAGCAAACTGTTGCAGTAAACCTCATTGTGGCCTTGGCCCCAAGGTAACCCTACAAATAGTTCTAACCACTTGGTTCTTGGCTCTCTTGCTTGAGAAGATAAGAAGATCCATTTATCATCACATGTGGATGGGGGAATCCTCAAATTCCAATCGCTCTTAGGTTTTAGTCACAGGACCTTGGGTGTCATGACAAGAACAAGTGATATCAAATCAGTGACTGCCCAAGGTCTCCATGTCTGTCTGGCCAGTTCTCAAATAGACCCAGAAGGCTTTTGATTCACTACATCAACAACTCTAAATAAAGCTTCATTAATATTCTTCTTTTGCTTGCATTTCTTTAGGAGTCTCAACCATAAGTTGTAGGGACACTTCAGCAATATTGTTATGTTTAACCAACTCTCCAGAAAAGGAAGAATTGCCCACTCCCCCATCTTGGTACTACCACTTAAGAAGACATGTTAGATTTATACCCCGCCCTTCACTTGGAGTCTCAGAGCGGCTTACAATTTCCTTCCCTTCCTCTCCCCACAACAGATACCCTGTGAGGTCAGTGAGGCTGAAAGAGTTCTTTCAAGAACTGCTCTTAAGAGAACAGCTTTAAGAGAACTGTGACTGACCCAAGGTCACCCAGCTAGAGTGGGGAATCACATGCAGATTAAAGTCCGCTACTCTTAACCACTACACCAAGCTGATGTTGTACAGTTGAGTGGTATTCAGCTTTATAATCTGGTTCCCTGGTTTATAATCTGGTTTATAATCCCAGTTTTCCCACCACAATGTGGTGTAATGGCACTTTGCAGAAATGGCAAGTCCAAACACTGCAGAGCTAAAATCTGAAAATACCAACCATATCTGACCAGACATAACAATGAGACACAAACTCCCCTCAAAGCTATTTTCTCTCTCTCTACAACCTATCAGTGCTCATCTCATTGTTGCTACACACAGAGAGATCTTTTCACATAAAACAAATTATTAAATGGCCTTCTGTGTTCACAGTGTGTGCTATAAACATGTTTTATCATTGTGAAATCATTCTGTGGTAGTATCACCAGAATCGTAGCTTTTTACCACAAGTATTAGGATGATTTATACAAACCTCAAAAGAACAGGCATTCTGGGTTGCCAAGCAACCTTGCTGCTGCCAAGACTTAATTAGAAAAAAAGTTATATTTAACTTAGTCTTGAGTAATATCCATTTTAACCATAAACCATTTGCTTTACATTAACCAGTACAGCAGCTGAGGTGAACCAAGGCTGAACAAAAGATAGTATCAGGGATTAACTGGTGAGCAGATACTTGAAGATAATAAAGCAGCTATTAAATTTTATTTGTTTTTCTAACAGGGAAATAGGTGTTCAAGAGGTTAACTGGGAAACAGATGGACTAGATGGCCTGTATGGCCCCTTCCGACTATGCTCCTCTTCTATGCTCCTTTAGTGATATCTTGACTGAAAATCTGGTTGTTGGTGAGGAAAGTCCAACAGGAATGAGGCCCGGGCAAAGATGAGGGGGAAACAGAAAGCTCTACAGCAGCTGTAAAGAGAAGCGATCTCTTCACCCAAGGACAACAGCATCTCTGTGCAACACTTTCCTCCGAATACTACTTAAACCCTAATAGGCGCATCGTATCATAGAGTTGGAAGGGACCCTACAGGCCATGTAGTCCAACCCCTGCTCCGTGCAGGATCAGCCTAAAGCATCCCTGACCATTTTTTATCCAGCCGCTGCTTTAAGACTGCCAGTGAGGGGGAGACCATCACCACCTAAGGCAGCCAAATACCACAGCTAAACTACTCTTAGGCTACAAGCAGATGAGCTGTTTGATCTGGTGTTGTTGCTGTTCCCTTCTGGGTTTAAAAGACACGATCAGACAGCAACATCTCTCTCTGGTTCTTCAACTGTCGGCACCCCGTTCTCACTCAGAGTTCTTTGACACTGGGGAAAGTCCGGTCCTCCCTGGTCTCAGCAGTCTCACCTCACATTTCCAGAAATCTGATCAATCCATCATACTCTCAAGCCGTTTGGGAAGTCTGAACGTTCCCTTCTGGTTTGGAGGGGGGTTTTTTTGAGGCAGTTAGCGAGATGTGCATAACTGCATATTTGCACCATGGCTATGAAGCGCCACACGTGCATTTATTTTTTACAGACATTCTCGATCACAGGAGCTTCTTCAAAACTGTTTTTCTTTTTAAAAAAAACTTCCAAAGCTCGATTTCAAAAACACTTTCCCCACACTGCTCTCCATATCCCAGCAGCCTCCTCCAGCAATCCCATTGGCCACCAGCTGCCGCCATTCTGCCAGGAGTTTGAAGCGCTGCTTCCAATACATGTTTATTTGCATACTCAAAAGATGAATAATCTTTTTTAAAGCTGCCCGACTGCCCCACTCCATGGCTGCAGCGTCTGACTGATCAACAATGAGGTGGTGAGTGTCATCTGACTGCCTGTCATCTGACTGCAGCCTTACTGTAAAACATTTTTTCCTAATAACCAGCCACTACCTTTCTACCCATAATTTAAACTTATTATTGTGAGTCCATCTTCTGCTGCCAACAGGAACAGCTCCCTGCCCTCCTCTGACAGCCTTTCAAATACTTAAAGAGAGAAATAATTTCCCCCCAAAACTCATCTTCTTCAAGCTGCATTAGGATTCAAATGTTATAGGTTTGTAATCCTGTATAAAGGGAATGGAGCACCACATTTTCGACAAGGACCAGAATATGCCTTTCATTATGGAATCAAGATCCTGCACAATGTGGTAAGTAAAGCCAGTCTGGTGTAGTTGTTAAGTGCACGGACTCTAATCTGGGGGAACCAGGTTTGATTCCCCACTCCTCCGCTTGCACCTGCTGGATGACCTTGGGCAAGCCATAGTTCTGGCACAGCTGTTCTTGAAAAAGAGCAGTTTCTGTCAGAGCTCTCTCAGCCTCCCAGCCCCACCTACCTCACAGGGTGGTTGTTGGGGGGGGGGGGGAGGGAAAGGAGTTTTAAGCCGCTCTGAGACTCTTTTGAGTAGTGAAGGGCTGGGTATAAATCCAATCTCTTCTTCTTCTTCTAAATCATGAAGTGATTCCTACATTCCTGTGCTGCTTGTGACAACTACATGTAAAGTTCGATTGCAGCATTTTCCTGATAATACAACCTTAAGATGTCTTTGCTTTCGTTAAATTCAGACTGAGACCAGCACAAACTGCTCTGATAACAACTACAATCTCTGCCTCACTGCATTCTCTCGCTCTCTCTCTTTGTAAATCCATTTTCAATCTGATTAAAACCTGCCTGTTTGCTGAGGACTGCCAGGTATCTTTCCTTTGGATTGATTCTGCTCCCCTAGGGGGTCCTGTTGACTTCGTTCACCTTTTCCTGAAACCAAGACTCCAGTAGCTTTACTTTTTCACAGTATAGTGCTTTCTGCAGAGTCTCCTCCTGAGGTATAGAACTGAATTCCATAACTGAGTCTTTCAGGAATTCAGACAGCCCCTTTCATTCTCTTAGTTCAGTACAATATATTGTACTATATACCCAAACATCTTAGAACAATACTCTTAACTGCAATCCTACAGCAATCTGTCCTGGAAAAAACTAAGAACTTACAAATGTCCCACAGCTGTTCCTCCTGAAGCAGATATAAAACTCCTTCCACATCTAAGCAGGCCTTGTAACTCACTATTTGTTTAGTTGTTTTATACATTCAATGTAAGCTGCCCTGAGCCTGCCTTGGCAGGGAGGGTGGGATATAAAGTAAATAAATGAATATTAGCCATGATAGTCCTTTTGTGGCATTACTGTCATGCATACCAGCAGCCTTCTGCATTTTGTGGCATTACTGTCAGGCA